ACAATCATGCATATCCTTATCTACAATGGAAGCAGAATACGTGGCTTGTTCTGCTGCTGTACAAGAAGTTGTTTGGTTTAAAATGTTCTTTCAACATCTAGGAATTGTCACACATACCTTAGGCCCAATGATAATTCATTGTGATAGCATAGCTGCATTAGCTTATGCTAAGGATCCTAAGTATCATGGAAAAACCAAACACATAGATCTAAGATATCATTACATCAGAGACATGATTGCACAAAAAAAAATAATCTTGAAACACATACCTATAACTCAAATGGTTGCAGGCCCCCTGACTAAGTTTATAGCTAGAGATGTGTATATGGCTCATGTTAGAACTCTAGGACTTCGTAGGTATTGATTATGTGCTAGAGAATGTATGGATCACACAGTCATTTTGTATTGACATTTTTTGGGATATTAATATATGATTTTAATTGCAATTAAATGTTATATTGTTTGATTACCTTGATGTTTGAGAAAGCACACACATTAAGTATGTTAGCGGCGTGATTGGCTCACTCACACGAGCAATTGCCTTTGGCGTTTGATATAGTAAACAAAGATTAGATACTTTAGCACATAGTATCGCTCTATTTTGTACACAAAATGAGATCTAACATTTGAGGATCGATAATGGACACAACTCCTTGTCCATTATACCTGTGTTTGTTAATTAGCCAGATGCGAGATCTTAATTTGGCGTCTTTGGAGGGCGAGCAAATAGAGAACTTGGGTTAGACGCTTGTAGAGCGACTAGACTAAAATTTGTACGGTGTCTAAGTATGACATACGCTCTCATTAGGATCGAGACACTCCACTATAGCATGTATTTCATACTACATGTGCTTGGCGACAATTAAGGAGGTGAATGAATGGATCCCTGCTTCCTCACTATGTGAGTCCTCTGAGTCATTTTTACATGACCAGACTATTTTATTTAACTAAACATTATATGTACTCTTTGACTTTTGACTATGTCATAAAGTGAAAGAATTAGCTACTTTGGCATGCCACTTGCGGCCATGAGTGATTTGGCCTTCCAGGACATTGCAAGGATAGCGATTAATTTTGAACTAAGTGAAAGGAAGACCATTTGGAACATCCCGCGATATATTCACTGTCGACAACTTTGGGCGCTAATTTAGATAATGACAAAGTGTGAATGTATAGGCGCAAACTTCGAAGGGTTATGCATGCTCTTATATTGTAAGAGATTAGAGATGCTTGAACCGGTGTATCTAAATGGGTTTTGAATACTTGGGACACCATTTACATTTTTTTAAAGGGTTGATGTCTTTATGTTGGCTCTGTAGAGCTTCTAGTGTAGAGCTCCCAAATTGCAGGTGTGCTCAGCACTTGCACGGCCCCTTAACCTGTATGAATTGATGTTGATGTATGTAATGGATTGAGAGAGATGACAGTGTCATACCCACCACGTGCGAGTGGGAGATGTTAGATATTGATTGGGTCATGGACCCAAACTGGGGCACCTATGGTGGGTTGACCCAAATTAAAGAATGTCCAAAGGAGCATGTTTTTGGGAGATATCATTTACCAAAAGGTATCATTCACCCAAAATACATGTCTGTTAAATATTAACAAACATGTCCTTGAATGTCTCTTAATGATACTCGTTGGCTGCTTATATAAACCCAAGGCAATCTAATAGATGAGCACTTTTTGATAATTTATCTAACACTAAAAACTCTATTCTCTCTCTCTCTCCCTACACAACATTTGTAAGGCCTTTGTGCTATGGAAATTCGGTGTTGATTCCTATTGTGTAACAACACTATACTACTCGAGCAATCGAAGAAAAGACGATTTTTAGATTTTTAAATTACGTGGAATATCTTCAAACGATTTTTAGGATTAAAGTGAATAAGGTATGTCTTTGATTCTATACTTCCGCAATATGTATATGATTCCCAACACTACTTGTACTCAATTTGTGGATCTGATTTGAAGACCTAATACATTGTGGTTATTTAATTAACAGTGGACTTCATTCAATACTAGCCTCCATGGCTAATTCAATGATAAAAATGCATTTTGATATCAAATTAGGCCTGATAAAATTGTATAAAAATTTATTTTGGGGCCCAAAATTTTCTTCCCATTTGATGGCCATAAGCAATGGCCTTAATTGCCTATGCCTTGGTTGACACAAGAAGGAAGCTTGAGAGATTATTGTAGTGATAGCTTTCTCAGTACTATTTTTTTTTTCTCACTACAATATTAGATTTGACAATTTTAGATACGATTTGCGAACTTTGACACGAAATCGATATACAATTACTAGAATAAGTTTAGTATTAATGAGTTTGGATGATAATTAGATAAACACATTTGACCTATCAAATAAATGGGCTACAACGAATTCACTAAATGCATTGAACAAATTTTAACACGACATGAACTAATTACAACTCGACCCTAATACTATATGATTGTTAGTTTCCATTAAGGGGACCAAAATTCTCTATGATCACCTTTGGTGAAGCAACCCTTCTCATGCTATCATCGCTCATGCTGAATACACCTGGCGAGTTCTGCTGGGCAATGCTAGAAACTGCATTGGGGAATCATGGGACCTTATATTTAAGGGGAGCTTATAATCCGAACCGAGGACGAGTTTTTGGAGTTACCTCTCCCTCCCTGCGTGAATTGAATCAAACGTGATTCTGCGGGGTAGGAAGAAGGGCAACTATATCCATCAATCATATTTAGTAGAAATGACTATGGTACCTTCTTAGTGTTTTAAATTATACACTTTTTTGACATTTTAATCCAACTTTATAAGTTGCCCTTTCTTGACTCGAATTGGTGATTCGAAGTTCGTTTTGTTACCAATTGTTATGGACGGTTGTTAAAAAGTCCCGTGAAATTTTATTGAGTAATGCATATGAACGTTCTTCAAGAATGGATTATCACATCTTGGCTGTGCGATAAGGTAATTTCATAGTGACTTGGAAGTCACGAACAACCTCTCCGTATACGTGCTTTTTTGAATGATGGATGCACATATATGCTTTTCTAGATAATTTTTTTCAAGTATGTATTGGATAAAATAAAAAACTATTTCCTTTTGTCCCTTTTTGTAATTTCACGAATTCTTCGTCCCCCTATTCTAATTTTCATTCTTAATTGGAAAACTTATTGCGAAATATAAGACAACTAGTTATAACATGTGTCTGAAGGTATGATACAACATAAAATCTAAAAATCGATATCACTGTATCAAGTAATAATTTTTCTTTCACTCCTTTTATTTTTAATTACATAATTTGAAAATAATTTTAACCCATTTTTTTTTTTTGGAAAAAAGTTGAAATTTTTTTCTCAAAATCTATGACTTCAAAAAAATATCAATATATGTACATTATTTTATGTAAATAATGTCTAAAATAAAAATTGTATTGAACCACAAATTAATAAAAAAAATTAAGTAATTCAACCGGTTATAGAAATTGGTGATGTAATAGATATAGACCAAAAAAATATGAGGATAAAATTCAATTTTTTTTTTAAGATTCAAACTCCTAACTCCCTTATCATATAAATATTATTTCACAATTTATTCCTTTTCTTATTATATTCATGAATTCTCCATATATCCACATTCTACTTTTAATTGCTAATAGGAAAAAAATATGCATATTTTGTTAGTAACAACGAACTTCTCCAAGACATGACTACATTGGACTCACCCCTATAGAGTAAAACATCAAATACCTACAATCACTCACTAATCACATGTCATCAACGATGATCGAATTCAAGACATCTAAGTTTATGATCCACTCTAAATCTAACCCAAAACATTGGACTACCCATATTGAGTTAAGAACATGAATGTTACAACCACTAAAACACCAAAAGAGATCTAATGTTTTAATAGTTACCTCTACGAGTTGTGTCTGGGAGTTTTCAAGTATAGGGAGGATGATGGCCAAAGTCAGCAAGCTTTGGAAGCCAATCATGACCCATTTTCGATGAGATGATCTCAAGGGTTATTACATTGAGGTTTTCAGTTTTGACTTATACTTCGAATTGCCCTCATACATGCAGTTTACAGGTGATTATATATATTTTAAGAGTTTGTGTGATAATCTCGATTCGAAAAAGATTGCATGTTTATGATGATTCAACATTGCCTAAAAATTAAAAAAAATCAGTTTGCATGATAATTTCGATTTGAAAAAGATTTCATGTTTATGATGATTCTCCATTGCTTTCATGCAAATTCCTACAATTGGCAAACCTAGTTGGCAGGGGAAGACAGTTGGGTTGGGAGGAAACTTTTCAGTTCAGACCATGAAATGTGGAATAAAATCTCTCTCTCTCTCTCCACCTTTAACTTTTGTTTTAGTCCTATGTAACAGTAGAAAGATAGGCAGAAAAGAGAAAGGAGAATGCCACAACATTACCATGATATTGTAGTTATAAGTTAATCAGCACAAGAATCAGATTTGCATTCTAATTGAGACCGCTCTTCTTAATCACGAGTCTTTTGAATTTTTGGTTACACTTCAGATGCACGTAATCATTTGCAAAGCAAGTAAATTGATTAAACCCGGATTTTATCTGACCTAAGAGACATAAATTCACATAAACTCAGAACGTGTGAATTTACATCTTATCCATTATGCGACCATTGAATCAATCCATGTTGCGGGTCTCCTTTCCCTTTTTATCTTCGTTCTCTGTTTTCCTATTTTGGCACCTCCTCTTGCTTGCAGTATCCACCAACCCATGTCTCCTTCCTCAAGTTTTCTCAATATTCCTTCATCTTAACATCTCTCTCTCTCTCTCCAATCCAAGAAACCTTAGATTCTTCAGACTCTATATAATACCAAATGCAGCCAATCAAGATAACTTCTTTGTTACGAGGACCTCATTAGTCCTTCTGTTGGAGAAATACCCTATGTTCTATTACAGTCTCCAAACAAGGAAGAGAATTGGAAACCACATTGGTATAGCAGCTAGAAGAGATGGGTGCTAGAGTTCTATTGTGTCACATCTTCTTCCTCTTCTGTTTGCTCTTCATTTCAGGTGAATTTAATTTTCATAAGGTTTTGGGTTGAGTTGTTCCTCTGTGCATACTTCTCTTTAATTTTACTCTAGGCATTTTATTCCCCATAAAAGTAGTAGTCTTTCGACATGACACAATTAACACAACACGAATTGAAGCATGACACGGTCAAATGAACAATAACAATAAGTGGGTTGGATTAGTATAAAACATGACCAACGGAACATCACAAATCCCTTTAAGTGTCATTGAAATCGAAAATGTCAACTTTTTTCTTTCTCGATTTAAATAGTTTTGTTTTTTTTTTTTTGGTTAGAATGTGGATTAAAAATACTTCTAGTAAACAAGAGACTCACTTGTGATGGTTTTTATAAAGAAAAATAGGTCTTAAAGCTGTGATTTTTAGTTCAAGAGTTATATGAAAATAACACGAATCCAGAATAACACAACCAAATATATCACTGAATCTTGCATGAAACAACTTACAACTTGTTTGGATGAATTTTGGGGAAGGGTTTGGATTGGCTTTTTCAAACCTTTCCAAACTCAAACCTCTTTTTACAAAGATGAGATTCACATTCAATTTGATTCATACCCATGTTTTGTATACAACATATATACATGTACGACCCACAGATATATTATAATTATTAATAAATATTTACCTTATAAATGACTATTTAACTCTTGATCAATTCAATTCATACTCATGTTAAGGGATACAATTGTTTTTTGCATCCTAAACCCCTTAACTCATCTTCTCAAACCCACCCCCTCCCTAAGTTTGACGAAACTCATGATCATGGGTTTAATCTTCGGGTCAGCTACGAGTCGGGTTTGAAAACCCGGGATTAAATTTTCAATCTAAATATGAGATTTGAGAATCTTTTAGACTATTTTTCCCAAACTCATCTTGTCAAGC